AAAAAACATAACATAGAATAACAAAACAATAAAATATAATAATAATAGTAATAATAAGAAAATGATAATAACAACAATAAGAATAATAATTCAATATATATATATATACATAAATATAAATATGTATATATGTATGTATTTATAATGAATAATGAATCATAATAATGATAATAATCATGGTTTTAATAATTAATTTTTTAAAAAAAACACAGGACGCCTGGGATCGGCAAAGGCCAGGGCGAGGCGCCAAGCCCACTCAGGCTGGGTTTGGGGCTCAGGGTGTTTTAGGGTTTAGGGTTTAGGGTTTGGGCGCAGCCCGCGCCCACCCGTAATCTCTAAGTGTGGATTTGACGGGGCGGGGGTGGGGGGAGGCGGGAGTGGAGGACTTCGACTCGGATCCTGATTCTTTTTTTTAAGGTTTTAGGCCCCTTAGTAGCTGAGTGAGTACACTCTACATGTTTTGGGATACTAGAATCTCTACAAAACTCAAAGTGTACACTTTTTGGGGGGCTTGATGAACTCAGCACCTAAGAGGCTCCTTTACCAGGCACCCTTGCCACTCCGAGGTTACGGTTGGGTCTGAATTGGTCAGAGGCACAGTTGGGGAGCCCCCCGCTACCACACTAGTCCCCATAGTTCTCTAAGTTAGGGTCCCTGTTTGGGATCCCTTTTTAAAGAGTGCCGCCTTTTTTTCTGGGTACCCCAAAAAAGGACCCTAGTTTTGGAAACTACCCATTTGGTTTCCATCTTTGGGAAGTTCTATGGGCCCTGAATAATGGCCCGTCACCTCCTTTACAGGGTTCTAAAGCGTTTAGAAGGGGTATATAAGGGGTCCCCTTTTAACCATGTCACTACCCGATCAAGGGACTAAAGGAGGGACCCTTGTAAGGGATCTTTGGGGTTATTTAGGGGTTGTTTGGGGGCCACTTAGGTATACAGGTTCTGAGAAGCTGTTCGATTCTACTTAGGAGCGCTTCGTGCCAGGAGTCGTCGACTTCGAAGCGGCACTTTATACACGGGGTACCCTAAACCCCAAACCCTAAACCCTAAACCCCAAACCCTAAACCCTAATCCCCAAACCCTAAACCCTAAACCCTAAACCCTAAACCCTATAAGCCCAAGCCCTAAACCCTGAGCTTGGGCAGGTGGCAGCTCGGGCTCCAGTTGAGACACAAAAAAGCCAAAGCCCATTTATGCCTCTTAGCTATCAGAAACCCTAAACCCTAAACCCTAAACCCTAAACCCTAAACCCTAAACCGTGGCTCAATCGTATTAATTAGGATCAAACGACAAGCCTATATACCTCTTAAACTAAGGAATGTTCTGTGGATCAGAATAAAATTCACGGAGTATGGAGTATTCCTTAAATCGTAGCAGGATCCCTGATTATGTGAGGTGTATTCCTTCATTAAGGGGTTCTGGGCGCTCTGGGGGTTTTTAAACTTTGAGACTCTCCAGACCTATAAACACACCCAGAGGGTTTAGGGTTTAGGGTTTAGGGTTCAGGGTTTAGGGTTTAGGGTTTAGCGTTTAGGGTCCTAACCAACCTACAAACCCTGTAGGCCCCAAAAGAAACCCCGAAGCCGCAGGCCCAAGCAAAAGCAAAGCCGAGCTACGAGCGCCGGGACTCCTTTGATGAAAGCCTCTGGGACTCAAAAGGTTTTAGGGTCTAGGGTTGAGGTTTTGGTGTTCCATGCTACCTGGACCATCGATTTTGGTCAGTTTTTTGTTTGGTTGGGGGGAGGGGGGGGAGGTATATTTCATGATGTTAATGTAGCCATGAACTTCGGCATCCCAAAGACGGAACTACAATAACAGGTCGAGGTGGGGTTAGGGTCCCTACAGTGCACAAACTGGCATGCCCTTCTCTGAATTGTCCCCTTTTTGAGGTGCTCCCTTGACATAGCATTGTATAGCGCTCCGTAATAGCCCCAAAAGGCACCCATCATCACTTAGAAGCCCCAGATACTTGGGCCTAAAGCTACTGTATGCTACTGTATAGGAACTCTTCAAGGCCCAGGTACATATGGTCCATGCACCCTTTGGGCACATTTTGGCGCGCTACATTGCAGCCCGGTCACCTACCTGAATGTACTTGGAGGTTCATGGTACTTATAACTCAGTCACAGCTGCACTTGCAATCCACTGATGAGCCCCTTAAGTGCCCTAACCTGGTTATATTTGGGTTATAAGTACAGGTATGATTGCGAATAAGTACCACGAACCTCCAAGCACATCTCCTTCCCCAAACCCTGATCCCCTTGCTTGGCGCTACAACGCTCTCTCAGGCTTCCCACGCTCCAGGGGCAGCCGCAGCAAGGACAGGGTAAGGTTGGTGTGTTTCCGAGCAGCATAGTATAGGTTGTAGAGTATAATGCTTGCCAGCCTGCATCCCACAGAAGTTCTGGAAACTTTAGCTCTTTTCTGGCACCGTAGTCAGTTTGGCTGAAGCTGTTGTCCTCGCAGCCCTTCCTTTGCCCCACTCTCCACCGTCACGGCCATGGCAGCATGCGAGGCAGAGCCCATGCGCGATGGCCGCATCGTGGATGGCAAGATCGATCTGTCCACGGGCCTGTGGGACACAAGCTTGGAAATGCCTCCTCGCCAGGATGCCTCGGACGTGGATGCCCGCGATGCGAACACCCCCGACAAGTGGATCAAGCGGCACCCGGCAATGCTTCGCAACACGGGGATGCACCCCTTCAATTCGGAGCCGCCCCTGAAGAAGCTCCAGGAAGCTGGTTGGATCACCCCGCCCTCGCTCTACGTTGTCCGCAACCATGGTGCCGTGCCGCAGCTCACATGGGCCGAGCACAAGCTGAAGATCACGGGAGTTCCGAAACTGTGTCATATATCTGGGTGCCATTTTACATTTTTCAGGGTACGTAAACCCAATAAAGGAATAAGCATTTAGTTTTTTAAAAATATTATCCCAACCATGAACTAAACCTAATAAGGAATTCGGAATACACATTTATTGTTTAAAATAGTATCCCAACCATGAACTAGGAAGCCGTGCGAGCTGAGCATGGATCAGCTGGCCTCTGGGGAGTGGGGCAACGTGGTGTCAATCCCAGTGACTTGGTAGCCCAGTGGTAGCCTAAGTGCCTTTTTGTGGTTATGGGGCTCCCTTACAAAATAGCCAGCCCAAAAAAGGGTGCCCTGATAGTTTAGGGTTTAGGGCTTAGGGTAGGGGTACTATATGGTTATAACGGGCTACCAAGGTGACCTTCATTTGCGCAGGCAACCGTCGCAAGGAGCAGAACATGACCAAGAAAACTGCGCCTTGGTTTAGGGTTTGGGGTTTAGGGTTTAGGGTTTAGGGTTTAGCGGTCTCGTCAGGTGTTAGGGGGAGCGTTGAACATAATTTCTAAGTTGTAGTACTCTGAATCCCCTATAGAATCCTAAGAAAGCCAGAAGGATGTTAATTTTTGTAGGGCACCCGAGCCTACCCCAGGATTGACTGGCAAAGATTCATGTGCGTAAGCCCACACATCATGTTGATCCAGGTTGGCTTCGACTGGGGTGCCGGTGCTGTGGGCAACTCCGTGTGGACAGGCGTGCGACTGTGTGATCTTCTGAGGCACCTGGGCATCACAAGGCCCTCCAAAGAGCAGCGTTTTGTGCACTTCGAGGGTCCCCTGGGCGAGCTGCCGCAGGGTAAGACGGGCTCCTATGGCACCTCCATTGACATCGGTTGGGCCTTAGACCGCGAGCGTGACGTGCTCCTCGCCTTCAAGCAGAACGGCGAGCTCCTCACCCCGGACCATGGGGCTCCCCTCCGCACGCTACTCCCAGGGTGCATCGGCGGGCGAATGATCAAGTGGCTCACCGCCATGTGGGTGTCTGACCAGCCGTCTCAGAACCACTACCACTACTTTGACAATCGCGTGCTGCCGCCCCACGTGGACGCTGACTTGGCCTATGCGGAAGGCTGGTGGTACAAGCCTGAGTACATCATCAACCACATGAACATCAACTCTGCCATGTTCGAGCCGCGCCACAACTCCTACGTGCACATGGCCCAGACGGACAGGCCAGCCACCATCAAGGTTTGTGGATACGCTTATACGGGCGGCGGTAACAAGATCATCCGTGCGGAGATCTCCCTGGATTCCGGGAAGTCGTGGGAGATCACGGACCTGACCCGTCCAGAGGACGACATCGCTGCGGCACGTGGGACGGACAAGCACTGGTGCTGGTCCTGGTGGGAGACAGAAGTGGACCTGGGGCGCCTGGAGCAAGCTGAAGAAATCTGCTGCCGCGCCTTTGACTCGAACCAAAACAGTCAGCCGGTCCAGTTGACATGGACTGTCATGGGCATGCTGAACAACCCCATCTACAGGACCTGGTAGCCCAGTGGTACCATGTGGTACCCTTTACCTTTTTTTTTTTTTGCTATGGGTTCCCTTGTGTAAAGCAACCAACCCCCAAAAAAAGGGGGTGCCCCCTTATTAACTTAATGATAATATATGGCTACTGGGCTCACAGGATCAAGATCCACCGCGAGGCGGATGCAGAGGGCCGGGACATGATCTGGTTCGAGCACCCGACTCAAGGTTCCATGCCCGGAGGCTGGATGACAGATGCTCGGGCTCTTCTGGCTGGTTTTTTAGTAGGGAATGAGGGAATGAGGTCCCCTGTTAGAATCCCTTAAAGGGTATTTATAGGGTACCTCATTCCCTCATTCCCTACTAAGAACCAGGGGGGTGTTCTAAGGAGCTGATGTTAAATGCCCCTCTAGGCCCCCCCCCCCCCAGAATGGGGATTTTCTTTTATATCATGCAGAGCAAGAACTCCCCAAAGGCTCATTCTGTTCGATAACTTAACAAGAGCCTAGGATGCTGCCGGCAAGTTCGACGGGGCCTTCGCGGCCCCAGCGACGCCCGGCAAGAACGGCGTCCCTCCCCATCGGCCAGTCGCAGCTGTGTGCCTTGTTGGGAGGGTTCAGGGTTTAGGGTTCAGGGTGGTCATAGACCCTATATACTGCTATCACCCCTTTATAAAGGTATATATATTTTTTTTTTAGCCATACCTAAACCCTTCAATCCTAAACCCTTCAACCCCTCCTTTGCACCAAGGCAACCCCAATTCAGGTATGTGAACCATCACTATACCCCTAACCCTTAAAAACTTGGGTCATCGACCCTAAAAACTGCTATAAGTCCACATTAAGGCATGTGAACCGCACCTAAACTCTAAAACCCTTAAGTCCTGAAACCAAAATTTTGGGTCCCAGAGCCCTACATACCACTAACAACCCCCTATTGTCTTGATGGTGTGCAAACCAAAAGCCCTTTAAACGGGCTGCATGTGGCCCAGGTGGAAGGGTGCCCGCGAGGAGGCCGTGGGTGCCGGGGGCGCCAAGAAGAGCGAGAGCGCTGCAGCGCCCGCTGAAGCCGGGAAGTTCGTGAAGTCCACCGCGGAGTCTAGGCATTGATTCCCTTTTTGTGGGGGGGGTAGTTTAGGGCTTAGGGAAAGGGTTTTTGGGGGGGGCCCTAAATTCCTCTATTTTTGAGGCTTTCGGGTTTAGGGAAGAGGGTTTTGGGGTTCAGGGTAGAGGGTTTAGGGCTAGATACTAGGACCCAGAGTTGGCCCCTTACTACTTTTTCAAACAGGAGGGGGTTCCCTTATAGAAGCAAAAGCTACCCTTTCTTTGTTCCCAGCTGACTCTTGGGCTCAGGAGTGGTTGACCCAGGGCATCTCCATGGACGAGGTGAAGAAGCACAATGATGAGCATTCCTGCTGGTTTGTGGCTCGGTAGCCCAGTGGTAACCCTTGTTAACCCTCTTTTTGGTTCTGGGTTCCCTTTTTTTAGTAGCCACACCAAAAGCTTGAAGGGTACCCCTTAGTATATTCTGGCTGCTGTGCTACTTAAGCCCTAAACCCTAAACCCTAAACCCTAAAGGTGGTCAAGGGCAAGGTCTACGACGGCACGTCCTACTTGGAGGACCACCCCGGTGGTGCTTCCTCCATGCTTCTGGCTGCGGGCATGGAGGCCACGGAGGATTTCGAGGCAGTACACTCATCCCGCGCCTGGGACATGCTGAAGGACTACTACATGGGGCCCTTGAGGGAGGAGAGTACCAGCAGTGGCCTGGGCAGCATGGTGGCCAGCATCCCTGGTGCAGTGTACGGCTTTGGGCAGACGGTCTTCAGCTCCTGCGCGCTGCGCTCCACCCTTGGGGCCATCCAGAATGCTATCGTCCCACAGGTCTTCCTGAACCCAAAGGAGTCGCAGCACCTTGTGCTCAGTGAGAAGATCGTGGTTTCCCACGACACACGCATCTTCCGCTTCGCCCTGCCATCTCCCTCCATGCGCCTCGGCCTCCCAACGGGCATGCACATGATCCTCAAGGCGAAGGTGAAGGGCAAGCCTGTGATGAGGGCCTACACACCCATGACGGATGACAGCACTGTGGGCCATGTGGATCTGCTGGTGAAAGTCTACTTCAAGGGTGTGCACCCGAAGTTCCCGGAGGGCGGCATGATGTCGCAGCACCTGGACTCTATGAAGATTGGCGACGCCATCGAGGTGAAGGGTCCTGTTGGCGAGTTTGTCTACCAAGGTCATGGCAGCTTCACGTGGCACGGCAAGCCGCGTTGGTGCAAGCAGATCTCCATGATTGCGGGTGGCACAGGCCTCACTCCTTGCTACCAGGTCCTAGCTGCCATCCTGCGCGACCCCACTGACACGACCCAGGTCCGGCTCCTCTGCGCCAACAAGTCGCCCCAAGACATCCTTGCCCGTGAAACCCTGGAGAAGCTCGCCGCTGAGAACCCAGACCGGTTCACGCTGAGCTTCACCGTAGATGACATCGGTGAGGAGACGACGTGGAAGGGGCATGTGGGTTTTGTCACCCCGACCATGACAAAGGCGACGCTCTTCAAGGCAGAGGAAGGCACGATCTGTGCCATGTGTGGCCCGCCCGTGATGTTGGAGAAGGCCTGCCACCCGGCACTCAAGGAGCTGGGCTACCGCACAACCGACATTTTCGAGTTCTAAGATGTCGAGGAGATATCGCTCTCTCTCTTGCTCTCTCTTTTCTAGATGTGTGAGAAGGCACCCTCAAAGGAGGGCTCTTTGTCGAAAAGCATTGCATGACATTTTCCAAGCCTTCTGACCTGTCCTGGCAGCCGGGAGAGATTGGCGTGCCAGCAGATTTTGGTCGGCCTTGGTGGAGCTAGGCCGAGCTTCCTGGGCTGCACGCAGATGCGCGCAGCCGCATCTGCGCGCAGCCCAAATTCCTGGCGGCATCTTTCGGACCGCGACCGCTGCGCCAGCCCTTTGCGGAGCATGGGTGGCCGGTGGCTGGTGAAAGCTTGCAGCCCTTAGCGATCCCCAGAGAGCCCAATACTCCTTAATTAAGGAATGTACCGTAAATTATCAAGGGATCCTTAAAAAGATTTAAGGAATATTCCTTAATTAAGGGGTATTCGGCTCTTTGGGTCCCTTGTATAGATGCTCGCGACTCTTTGAGAAGCCAGCCCCGCGAAAGAGTTGGTACGTGGCGTAGGCCTACATCCGTAGTCCTAAGCAGGGAAAGTGTACCTCAAGCAACCGCCGTGGACGTATATTGCTTCTGCAGCTACAATGTTGCCAGATAGTATATCATGTAACCATCACATAACATGTACTGTACTCTTGAATTCCAGATGGTCTATCACGCTATGAAACATCCTTTCTATATTATACATATGTACGCGTACCTTCATACTCAGCACACAAACCCTAAGGACACATGTACCTATGTAGCGTATGCTTGGGCCCTAAAGCTACGACAAAGGAACCCCTTTTAAGGCCCAAGTATATACTAACATAGGTACATGGATCCGTCGGGAAAAGGCTAGTTTGAATCAATGCTTATTGGGCATCAGGTTTACTTCCTGCTTCGGTGTTGCGAGGGCCTTTGCGCCGCGCCAGCTTTACCATATTGGTCTCGCGGGATTGTGCTGCATGGCAAAGGGCAGCATTGCAACATGTTTTCAAGGCTTCTGAAACGACTGTTATGTTGGTGCTTTTGGGCCTAAAGGCCCTCTTAAGTAAGGCCTTCGGGCTATTTTAAGCCTTGGGGTAAACCCTACTAAGATGCACGCCGGCCCCTAAACCCTAAACCCTATACCAGTCAGCTATGCTGGAGCGAAAATCCCTAAGCCAGGTTTGGTTTGTCGTCGCTCTGGCAGGGGCAAGCTTAGATCAAGGCCTTAACTCCCAACAACCATTGGTCCGCATGAACGTCCTATTTTCCGACTTTATTACCATGTATTGGGATATTCACTCTTTTTCTCACCAGTTCTTAATGGTGATTAAAGTAGCGGGTATCATTATCTTCTGTCTTTTGGGTGGGTGGGGGGTCCTAAGCAAATTTTGTAGAAAAGGGGAGCCCTAAACCCAAAAAAACCCTAAAAACCCTCAACCAATAGCAGTAAACCGATGAGTTCCGAGGACCGGGAGTAGGCCCCCTTGTCCTTCCTTTGCCCCACTTTCCACCGTCACGGCCATGGCAGCATGCGAGGCAGAGCCCATGCGCGATGGCCGCATCGTGGATGGCAAGATCGATCTGTCCACGGGCCTGTGGGACACAAGCTTGGAAATGCCTCCTCGCCAGGATGCCTCGGACGTGGATGCCCGCGATGCGAACACCCCCGACAAGTGGATCAAGCGGCACCCGGCAATGCTTCGCAACACGGGGATGCACCCCTTCAATTCGGAGCCGCCCCTGAAGCAGCTCCAGGAAGCTGGTTGGATCACCCCGCCCTCGCTCTACGTTGTCCGCAACCATGGTGCCGTGCCGCAGCTCACATGGGCCGAGCACAAGCTGAAGATCACGGGAGTTCCGAAACTGTGTCATATATCTGGGTGCCATTTTACATTTTTCAGGGTACGTAAACCCAATAAAGGAATAAGCATTTAGTTTTTTAGAAATATTATCCCAACCATGAACTAAACCTAATAAGGAATTCGGAATAAACATTTATTGTTTAAAATAGTATCCCAACCATGAACTAGGAAGCCGTGCGAGCTGAGCATGGATCAGCTGGCCTCTGGGGAGTGGGGCAACGTGGTGTCAATCCCCGTGACTTGGTAGCCCAGTGGTAGCCTAAGTGCCTTTTTGTGGTTATGGGGCTCCCTCACAAAATAGCCAGCCCAAAAAAGGGTGCCCTGATAGTTTAGGGTTTAGGGTTTAGGGTTTAGGGGTACTATATGGTTATAACGGGCTACCAAGGTGACCTTCATTTGCGCAGGCAACCGTCGCAAGGAGCAGAACATGACCAAGAAAACTGCGCCTTGGTTTAGGGTTTGGGGTTTAGGGTTTGGGGTTTAGGGTTTAGGGTTTAGGGTTTAGCGGTTTCGTCAGGTGTTAGGGGGAGCGTTGAACATAATTTCTAAGTTGTAGTACTCTGAATCCACTATAGAATCCTAACAAAGCCAGAAGGATTTTAATTTTTGTAGGGCACCCAAACCTACCCCAGGATTGACTGGCAAAGATTCATTTCGTAAGCCCACACATGATGTAATTGATCCAGGTTGGCTTCGACTGGGGTGCCGGTGCTGTGGGCAACTCCGTGTGGACAGGCGTGCGACTGTGTGATCTTCTGAGGCACCTGGGCATCACAAGGCCCTCCAAAGAGCAGCGTTTTGTGCACTTCGAGGGTCCCCTGGGCGAGCTGCCGCAGGGTAAGACGGGCTCCTATGGCACCTCCATTGACATCGGTTGGGCCTTAGACCGCGAGCGTGACGTGCTCCTCGCCTTCAAGCAGAACGGCGAGCTCCTCACCCCGGACCATGGGGCTCCCCTCCGCACGCTACTCCCAGGGTGCATCGGCGGGCGAATGATCAAGTGGCTCACCGCCATGTGGGTGTCTGACCAGCCGTCTGAGAACCACTACCACTACTTTGACAATCGCGTGCTGCCGCCCCACGTGGACGCTGACTTGGCCTATGCGGAAGGCTGGTGGTACAAGCCTGAGTACATCATCAACCACATGAACATCAACTCTGCCATGTTCGAGCCGCGCCACAACTCCTACGTGCACATGGCCCAGACGGACAGGCCAGCCACCATCAAGGTTTGTGGATACGCTTATACGGGCGGCGGTAACAAGATCATCCGTGCGGAGATCTCCCTGGATTCCGGGAAGTCGTGGGAGATCACGGACCTGACCCGTCCAGAGGACGACATCGCTGCGGCACGTGGGACGGACAAGCACTGGTGCTGGTCCTGGTGGGAGACAGAAGTGGACCTGGGGCGCCTGGGGCAAGCTGAAGAAATCTGCTGCCGCGCCTTTGACTCGAACCAAAACAGTCAGCCGGTCCAGTTGACATGGACTGTCATGGGCATGCTGAACAACCCCATCTACAGGACCTGGTAGCCCAGTGGTACCCTTTACCCTTTTTTTTGTTTGCTATGGGTTCCCTGTTGTAAACCATGCAACCCCCCCAAAAAAGGGGTGCCCCCTGATTAACTCATGATGATATATGGCTACTGGGCTTACAGGATCAAGATCCACCGCGAGGCGGATGCAGAGGGCCGGGACATGATCTGGTTCGAGCACCCGACTCAAGGTTCCATGCCCGGAGGCTGGATGACAGATGCTCGGGCTCTTCTGGCTGGTTCTTTCGTAGGGAATGAGGGAATGAGGTCCCCTTTCAGACTCCCTTAAAGGGTATTTATAGGGTACCTCATTCCCCCTACTAAGAACCAGGGGGGTGTTCTAAGGAGCTGATGTTAAACACCCCTCTAGGCCCCCCCCCCCCCCCCAGAATGGGGATTTTTCTTTTACATCATGCAGAGCAAGAACCCCCCAAAGGCTCATTCTGTTCGATAACTTAACAAGAGCCTAGGATGCTGCCGGCAAGTTCGACGGGGCCTTCGCGGCCCCAGCGACGCCCGGCAAGAACGGCGTCCCTCCCCATCGGCCAGTCGCAGCTGTGTGCCTTGTTGGGAGGGTTCAGGGTTTAGGGTTCAGGGTGGTCATAGACCCTATATACTGCTATAACCCCTTTATAAAGGTGTATATATATATATATATTAGCCATACCTAAACCCTTCAATCCTGAACCCTTCAACCCCTCCTTTGCACCAAGGCAAGCCCAATTCAGGTATGTGAACCCTCACTATACCCCTAACCCTTAAAAAACTTGGGTCATCGACCCTAAAAACTGCTACAAGTCCACCTTAAGGCATGTGAACCGCAACTAAACTCTAAACCCTTAAATCCTGAAACCAAAATTGGGGGTCACAGAGCCTACATACCACTACAACCCCTATTTTTTGATGGTGTGCAAACCAAAACCCTTTAAACGGGCTGCGTGTGGCCAGGTGGAAGGGTGCCCGCGAGGAGGCCGTGGGTACCGGGGGCGCCAAGAAGAGCGAGAGCGCTGCAGCGCCCGCTGAGGCCGGGAAGTTCGTGAAGTCCACCGCGGAGTCTAGGCATTGATTCCCTTTTTTGGGGGGGGGGGGGGGGGGTAGTTTAGGGCTTAGGGAAAGGGTTTTTGGGGGGGGCCCAAGTTCCTCTATTTTTTGAGGCTTTCGGGTTTAGGGAAAAGGGTTTTGGGGTTCGGTTCAGGGTAGAGGGTTTAGGGCTAGATACTAGGACCCAGAGTTGGCCCCTTACTACTTTTCAAACAGGAGGGGGTTCCCTTATAGAAGCAAAAGCTACCCTTTCTTTGTTCCCAGCTGACTCTTGGGCTCAGGAGTGGTTGACCCAGGGCATCTCCATGGACGAGGTGAAGAAGCACAATGATGAGCATTCCTGCTGGTTTGTGGCTCGGTAGCCCAGTGGTAACCCTTGTTAACCCTCTTTTTGGTTCTGGGTTCTTTTGTTAGTAGCCACACCAAAAGCTTGAAGGGTACCCCTTAGTATAATCTGGCTGCTGTGCTACTTAAGCCCTAAACCCTAAACCCTATAAACCCTAGACCCTAAAGGTGGTCAAGGGCAAGGTCTACGACGGCACGTCCTACTTGGAGGACCACCCCGGTGGTGCTTCCTCCATGCTTCTGGCTGCAGGCATGGAAGCCACGGAGGATTTCGAGGCAGTACACTCATCCCGCGCCTGGGACATGCTGAAGGACTACTACATGGGGCCCTTGAGGGAGGAGAGTACCAGCAGTGGCCTGGGCAGCATGGTGGCCAGCATCCCTGGTGCAGTGTACGGCTTTGGGCAGACGGTCTTCAGCTCCTGCGCGCTGCGCTCCACCCTTGGGGCCATCCAGAATGCTATCGTCCCACAGGTCTTCCTGAACCCAAAGGAGTCGCAGCACCTTGTGCTCAGTGAGAAGATCGTGGTTTCCCACGACACACGCATCTTCCGCTTCGCCCTGCCATCTCCCTCCATGCGCCTCGGCCTCCCAACGGGCATGCACATGATCCTCAAGGCGAAGGTGAATGGCAAGCCTGTGATGAGGGCCTACACACCCATGACGGATGACAGCACTGTGGGCCATGTGGATCTGCTGGTGAAAGTCTACTTCAAGGGTGTGCACCCGAAGTTCCCGGAGGGCGGCATGATGTCGCAGCACCTGGACTCTATGAAGATTGGCGACGCCATCGAGGTGAAGGGTCCTGTTGGCGAGTTTGTCTACCAAGGTCATGGCAGCTTCACGTGGCACGGCAAGCCGCGTTGGTGCAAGCAGATCTCCATGATTGCGGGTGGCACAGGCCTCACTCCTTGCTACCAGGTCCTAGCTGCCATCCTGCGCGACCCCACTGACACGACCCAGGTCCGGCTCCTCTGCGCCAACAAGTCGCCCCAAGACATCCTTGCCCGTGAAACCCTGGAGAAGCTCGCCGCTGAGAACCCAGACCGGTTCACGCTGAGCTTCACCGTAGATGACATCGGTGAGGAGACGACGTGGAAGGGGCATGTGGGTTTTGTCACCCCGACCATGACAAAGGCGACGCTCTTCAAGGCAGAGGAAGGCACGATCTGTGCCATGTGTGGCCCGCCCGTGATGTTGGAGAAGGCCTGCCACCCGGCACTCAAGGAGCTGGGCTACCGCACAACCGACATTTTCGAGTTCTAAGATGTCGAGGAGATATCGCTCTCTCTCTTGCTCTCTCTTTTCTAGATGTGTGAGAAGGCACCCTCAAAGGAGGGCTCTTTGTCGAAAAGCATTGCATGACATTTTCCAAGCCTTCTGACCTGTCCTGGCAGCCGGGAGAGATTGGCGTGCCAGCAGATTTTGGTCGGCCTTGGTGGAGCTAGGCCGAGCTTCCTGGGCTGCACGCAGATGCGCGCAGCCGCATCTGCGCGCAGCCCAAATTCCTGGCGGCATCTTTCGGACCGCGACCGCTGCGCCAGCCCTTTGCGGAGCATGGGTGGCCGGTGGCTGGTGAAAGCTTGCAGCCCTTAGCGATCCCCAGAGAGCCCAATACTCCTTAATTAAGGAATGTACCGTAAATTATCAAGGGATCCTTAAAAAGATTTAAGGAATATTCCTTAATTAAGGGGTATTCGGCTCTTTGGGTCCCTTGTATAGTTGCTCGCGACTCTTTGAGAAGCCAGCCCCGCGAAAGAGTTGGTACGTGGCGTAGGCCTACATCCGTAGTCCTAAGCAGGGAAAGTGTACCTCAAGCAACCGCCGTGGACGTATATTGCTTCTGCAGCTACAATGTTGCCAGATAGTATATCATGTAACCATCACATAACATGTACTGTACTCTTGAATTCCAGATGGTCTATCACGCTATGAAACATCCTTTCTATATTATACATATGTACGCGTACCTTCATACTCAGCACACAAACCCTAAGGACACATGTACCTATGTAGCGTATGCTTGGGCCCTAAAGCTACGACAAAGGCCCCCCTTTTAGGCCCAAGTATATACTAACATAGGTACATGGATCCGTCGGGAAAAGGCTAGTTTGAATCAATGCTTATTGGGCATCAGGTTTACTTCCTGCTTCGGTGTTGCGAGGGCCTTTGCACCGCGCCAGCTTTACCATATTGGTCTCACAACTGTTATGTTGGTGCTTTGGGCCTAAAGGCCCTCTTAAGTAAGGCCTTCGGGCTATTTTAAGCCTTGGGGTAAACCCTACTAAGATGCACGCCGGCCCCTAAACCCTAAACCCTATACCAGTCAGCTATGCTGGAGCGAAAATCCCTAAGCCAGGTTTGGTTTGTCGTCGCTCTGGCAGGGGCAAGCTTAGATCAAGGCCTTAACTCCCAACAACCATTGGTCCGCATGAACGTCCTATTTTCCGACTTTATTACCATGTATTGGGATATTCACTCTTTTTCTCACCAGTTCTTAATGGTGATTAAAGTAGCGGGTATCATTATCTTCTGTCTTTTGGGTGGGTGGGGGGTCCTAAGCAAATTTTGTAGAAAAGGGGAGCCCTAAACCCAAAAAAACCCTAAAAACCCTCAACCAATAGCAGTAAACCGATGAGTTCCGAGGACCGGGAGTAGGCCCTCTTGTCCTTCCTTTGCCCCACTTTCCACCGTCACGGCCATGGCAGCATGCGAGGCAGAGCCCATGCGCGATGGCCGCATCGTGGATGGCAAGATCGATCTGTCCACGGGCCTGTGGGACACAAGCTTGGAAATGCCTCCTCGCCAGGATGCCTCGGACGTGGATGCCCGCGATGCGAACACCCCCGACAAGTGGATCAAGCGGCACCCGGCAATGCTTCGCAACACGGGGATGCACCCCTTCAATTCGGAGCCGCCCCTGAAGCAGCTCCAGGAAGCTGGTTGGATCACCCCGCCCTCGCTCTACGTTGTCCGCAACCATGGTGCCGTGCCGCAGCTCACATGGGCCGAGCACAAGCTGAAGATCACGGGAGTTCCGAAACTGTGTCATATATCTGGGTGCCATTTTACAATTTTCAGGGTACGTAAACCCAATAAAGGAATAAGCATTTAGTTTTTTAAAATATTATCCCAACCATGAACTAAACCTAATAAGGAATTCGGAATAAACATTTATTGTTTAAAATAGTATCCCAACCATGAACTAGGAAGCCGTGCGAGCTGAGCATGGATCAGCTGGCCTCTGGGGAGTGGGGCAACGTGGTGTCAATCCCCGTGACTTGGTAGCCCAGTGGTAGCCTAAGTGCCTTTTTGTGGTTATGGGGCTCCCTCACAAAATAGCCAGCCCAAAAAAGGGTGCCCTGATAGTTTAGGGTTTAGGGGTTAGGGTTTAGGGGTACTATATGGTTATAACGGGCTACCAAGGTGACCTTCATTTGCGCAGGCAACCGTCGCAAGGAGCAGAACATGACCAAGAAAACTGCGCCTTGGTTTAGGGTTTGGGGTTTGGGGTTTAGGGTTTAGGGTTTAGCGGTTTCGTCAGGTGTTAGGGGGAGCGTTGAACATAATTTCTAAGTTCTAGTACTCTGAATCCCCTATAGAATCCTAACAAAGCCAGAAGGATTTTAATTACCCCAGGATTGACTGGCAAAGATTCATGTGCGTAAGCCCACACATCATGTTGATCCAGGTTGGCTTCGACTGGGGTGCCGGTGCTGTGGGCAATTCCGTGTGGACAGGCGTGCGACTGTGTGATCTTCTGAGGCACCTGGGCATCACAAGGCCCTCCAAAGAGCAGCGTTTTGTGCACTTCGAGGGTCCCCTGGGCGAGCTGCCGCAGGGTAAGACGGGCTCCTATGGCACCTCCATTGACATCGGTTGGGCCTTAGACCGCGAGCGTGACGTGCTCCTCGCCTTCAAGCAGAACGGCGAGCTCCTCACCCCGGACCATGGGGCTCCCCTCCGCACGCTACTCCCAGGGTGCATCGGCGGGCGAATGATCAAGTGGCTCACCGCCATGTGGGTGTCTGACCAGCCGTCTGAGAACCACTACCACTACTTTGACAATCGCGTGCTGCCGCCCCACGTGGACGCTGACTTGGCCTATGCGGAAGGCTGGTGGTACAAGCCTGAGTACATCATCAACCACATGAACATCAACTCTGCCATGTTCGAGCCGCGCCACAACTCCTACGTGCACATGGCCCAGACCGACAGGCCAGCCACCATCAAGGTTTGTGGATACGCTTATACGGGCGGCGGTAACAAGATCATCCGTGCGGAGATCTCCCTGGATTCCGGGAAGTCGTGGGAGATCACGGACCTGACCCGTCCAGAGGACGACATCGCTGCGGCACGTGGGACGGACAAGCACTGGTGCTGGTCCTGGTGGGAGACAGAAGTGGACCTGGGGCGCCTGGAGCAAGCTGAAGAAATCTGCTGCCGCGCCTTTGACTCGAACCAAAACAGTCAGCCGGTCCAGTTGACATGGACTGTCATGGGCATGCTGAACAACCCCATCTACAGGACCTGGTAGCCCAGTGGTACCCTTTACCCTTTTTTTTGTTTGCTATGGGTTCCCTTGTTGTAAAGCAACCAACCCCCCAAAAAAGGGGTGCCCCCTTATTAACTTATGATAAGATGGCTACTGGGCTCACAGGATCAAGATCCACCGCGATTCGGATGCAGAGGGCCGGGACATGATCTGGTTCGAGCACCCGACTCAAGGTTCCATGCCCGGAGGCTGGATGACAGATGCTCGGGCTCTTCTGGCTGGTTTTTTAGTAGGGAATGAGGGAATGAGGTCCCCTTTCAGAATCCCTTAAAGGGTATTTATAGGGTACCTCATTCCCTCATTCCCTACTAAGAACCAGGGGGGTGTTCTAAGGAGCTGATGTTAAATGCCCCTCTAGGCCCCCCCCCCCCCAGAATGGGGATTTTCTTTTATATCATGCAGAGCAAGAACTCCCCAAAGGCTCATTCTGTTCGATAACTTAACAAGAGCCTAGGATGCTGCCGGCAAGTTCGACGGGGCCTTCGCGGCCCCAGCGACGCCCGGCAAGAACGGCGTCCCTCCCCATCGGCCAGTCGCAGCTGTGTGCCTTGTTGGGAGGGTTCAGGGTTTAGGGTTCAGGGTGGTCATAGACCCTATATACTGCTATCACCCCTTTATAAAGGTATATATATTTTTTTTTTAGCCATACCTAAACCCTTCAATCCTAAACCCTTCAACCCCTCCTTTGCACCAAGGCAACCCCAATTCAGGTATGTGAACCATCACTATACCCCTAACCCTTAAAAACTTGGGTCATCGACCCTAAAAACTGCTATAAGTCCACATTAAGGCATGTGAACCGCAACTAAACTCTAAAACCCTTAAGTCCTGAAACCAAAATTTTGGGTCCCAGAGCCCTACATACCACTAACAACCCCCTATTGTCTTGATGGTGTGCAAACCAAAAGCCCTTTAAACGGGCTGCATGTGGCCAGGTGGAAGGGTGCCCGCGAGGAGGCCGTGGGTGCCGGGGGCGCCAAGAAGAGCGAGAGCGCTGCAGCGCCCGCTGAAGCCGGGAAGTTCGTGAAGTCCACCGCGGAGTCTAGGCATTGATTCCGTTTTTGTGGGGGGGGTAGTTTAGGGCTTAGGGAAAGGGTTTTTGGGGGGGGCCCTAAATTCCTCTATTTTTGAGGCTTTCGGGTTTAGGGAAGAGGGTTTTGGGGTTCAGGGTAGAGGGTTTAGGGCGAGCTGCTAGGACCCAGAGTTGGCCCCTTACTACTTTTCAAACAGGAGGGGGTACCCTTGTAGAAGCAAAAGCTACCCTTTCTTTGTTCCCAGCTGACTCTCGGGCTCAGGAGTGGTTGACCCAGGGCATTCCCATGGACGAGGTGAAGAAGCACAATGATGAGCATTCCTGCTGGTTTGTGGCTCGGTAGCCCAGTGGTAACCCTTGTTAACCCTCTTTTTGGTTCTGGGTTCCCTTTTTTTAGGTAGCCACACCAAAAGCTTGAAGGGTACCCCTTAGTATAATCTGGCTGCTGTGCTACTTAAGCCCTAAACCCTAAACCCTAAACCCTATAAACCCTAAACCCTAAAGGTGGTCAAGGGCAAGGTCTACGACGGCACGTCCTACTTGGAGGACCACCCCGGTGGTGCTTCCTCCATGCTTCTGGCTGCGGGCATGGAGGCCACGGAGGATTTCGAGGCAGTACACTCATCCCGCGCCTGGGACATGCTGAAGGACTACTACATGGGGCCCTTGAGGGAGGAG